GCCCGACAGTGACAACTTTCCAATACAGAGCATTGGTGTGACCCGAAGTTACAGGTTAATCTAAGCCCCAACTTAATAAAGATCCGTTACCGTAATGCAAGCCTATTTTTCAAACTTTCATCGTCCGTAGGATTTGAACCCTAGACCTGCTACTTGGAGAGGGTGACAACTTGACCACTTCACTAAGCCGCCACATCTCTCAAAATTCCAATTACTGTGATTTTCTATATATCATATATAAATATAATATTGCTACTTTTTAAATATATGTTTTATAAAGCATAAATAGTTTATAGAATTTAAAAATATTAAATACTTCAAGAGAAATAAAAATTTGAATGATATTACTTTTTTATAATAATTTAATAAAAAATAGCAAAATCGAAAGATCTAATTGTAAGTTAGAAAATTACCAAAAAAAATTTATTAATGATCTTTACTATATAGTTTGCACTATGTTTGTGATTAAACTAATATTAGACACCCCAATTTTTGATAGTTTTTGGAGCATTACCAATAGTCTTTGGAATATTTTTAGTGGTCTTTGGTTCATTTCCAGTAGTCTTTGGTGTTACTCTAGTGGTCTTTGATCTATTTCTGATTGTTTTTGGTGCTACTCTAGTGGTCTTTAGTGCATTACTAGTATAGTTTGACCTCTCTATAGTCACACCCCATAAAGTCACATCTCTATATAAGTACCTAATATTGTATAACAGACTTAAATATAGTATAAAAACCTCTTTATAGTCACAAATCGCTTATAATCACTATCACAAAAAAATTCGAATTTTTTTATTAATTTATTAGTAAAACCTCTCTTTATAGTTACAAATTTTAACTAAATATAAATTACAAAATCTGATTGGCTGATATTCATATTAATGCTTATTTAAAATATTCTATTAAAAATTATTAAAGGTTTGACAGTAAATATCTTTTGATACAATAGTCCAATTTAAATGAAACAATCACCAAAATGTTCGTTTTAGTGAGACGATTTTAATGAGTCCAAGATTCTTAAAATCCAATCACAGGCTCCTGTAATATTTAAGGATTTGTATTATTTTATATAATTAAAAATTGATTAAATTTAAATATCTTAGTTAAAAATCCTTAATGACCTTAGCATCTTGCAATTAATTTGGACTCTCTAAAATCATTTTATTGAATCAAACACTCTGGCAGTCATTTTATCCAAATTGGTCTACTGGATCAAAAGTACTTACTATCAAACATTTTAAAATTTTTAATAGTATATAAATATATTACTTATTGGCCTTTGGTCATATGACTATAAAAGGTATTTTATTTATAGTCACACCTCACTATAATTACCAAAATAGAGTGCAACCAACTTGCGATTATGAAGAGGTCTGATTGTAGTCTTTAGTGCATTATCAGCAGTTTTTGGTGCATTATTAGTAGTCTTTGACTGATTTTCAGCAGTCCTTAGTATATTACCAGTGGTCTTTGGGCATTTCCAATAGTCTTTGAAGCATTACTAGTGTTTTTGGAGTATTTCTGATGGTATTTGAAGTATTATCAGTAGTATTTGAAGTATTTCTAGTTGTTTTTGGTGCTACTACAGTAGTTTGTAGTATATTTCTAGTGGCTTTTACTAGAGTAGCAAGTAAAACAAATCTTCAATAGTGCACTAATGGTAAAACTAGAGTTATAGCTAAAACTAATCTTCAAGATGCACCAGTTTTCTGATGAAATAAATTACAACTCTAGTCTTTATGTAATACAAACCACTGATAATGCTCCAAAAACCTGAAAATGCTCAACAAACTACTAGTAATACAAAAATATACTTCAGACCACTGGTGCATCAAAGACTACTTGAAATGCATTACAAACTACAAGAAATATACCAAAGACTACTAGAAATATACTACAAATCACTAGTAATACTCCAAAGACCACCAAAAATGCTTCACAAACTACTGACAATGCTTTAAAGATTTCTCAAAATGTACTACAAACTACTAGTAATGATCCAAAGACTACTGGAAATATACCAAAAACCATTGAAACGCACTACACACTACTGGAAATGTACCAAAGACTACCGAAAATGGACCAAAAACCACTAGTAATGCATTAAAGACCACTAGAAATATATCAAAGACAAATAGAAATGCACCAAGAGACAACTATAAATATATTACAAACAATTGGTAATACATCAAAGACTACTGAAATAGTATCAAAATCTATCAGAAATACACCAAAGTTCACTAGAAATGCACCAAAAACCACTAGTAATGCACCAAAGACTAGAAGAAATGCTTTAAAAACTACTGAAAATACTCTAAAGACTACTAGTAGTGCTCTAAAGTACTTTTTTAAAAAAAGAAAACTATGCCGAATAAATAAAAAAAACGATATATAGAAAGTTTTATTAGAGTTGTAGGACTCCACTATTAAAAATAATTAAATTTCTTTTTGTTTTAGAGAAGTTAGCATAATGGTAATCTAATTTTATCTATCTTTAAAAAGTCACTATTATGCTAACTTTTCTAAAACTAAAAGGAACTTTGATTATTTTTAATAGTAAAGTTCTACAACTCTAATAAAACTTTCTATATACTTCTTTTTTGTTTATTTTTTGTAGTTTTCTTTTTTTTTAAAAAGTATTTAAACTGTATAAATAATATAAAATTAAATTGATTTAAACTGCCAATTAAATGAAAGTCTGCCTATGAGGTTGTTATTAATTGATGTGTTAAGAATTGGGTATCATAAATTCTCAAAATAATAGCCAGGGTAAAAATTACGAAATTTGGCCTAAATTAAGCTTAATTCAGGCCTAAACTCAAAATAATGCCTATGTTTGCTATTTTGAGAATTTATAGTAACCAATATAAATACTATAGTTTGGCAATTTCTAATTAAGATAATTGTAATGCAGCTATAATATGTATGTATAGGTAAATAGGAGAAAACGTTAGGGTGTTCAATAGTCTATAGTCAGGGTTACTAATAATTACTAATTGCAAATTTTCTAATAGTAATTTTAGAGTTTAGCTTAGAATCCTAATACTTAAAATTCTAATGATCAAAATCCCAAAAATAAGATTACAATAGTATTAAAATTGCTTTAGAATTTTAAGGAATTGGGAACTAACTTATTAAACTTAATATAATTGTAAATCGAACTCATAATTATTCCTATAAATTTACCAAAAATAAAATTACATTTATTGAAATAAATAATTAATCAAATAATATGCAGTTTTTTTTTTAAATTGAAGCTCCAAACTAGCTTTACACTAAAATAGAGCTATTTTTTTAATCTTTTTTTTAAAAAAATAAAAAAATATCAAAAATCGAAACCAAGAAAACTAATTATTAGTAGTTTAAATATTTTTTATAAAAATATTAATAAACTAGTACACAACTTTTTGATGATTACTTGGACTACAATTTTTTAAAAACTTTTTACTAGAAAAAATATAGTATATTAGTATAATAGTATTGACTACTAACATAAGATGTGAAAAAAGGACCTAAAGCTAGCAGCTATTATTTAGAGATAGTTCTTATATGCTATCTTGCTAACAGCTTTAGAATTTATCACTTACTGCAGGCACAGCACTTGCCGTTTAGAAGTAGTTCTCATATGCTACTTGCCAACAAGCCCAGAGTTTATCACTTACTGAAAAGACTAAGTACTATACAAACTTTGGTGTTATTGTTGATTTCAGTAAAAAGAAAAATTTATACTCTTTTAAGTAGTTTCAAGTGTTTTTTTCTTTTTATTGAATTTTGCCAACCTTACCAAAATTTTCAACAAAAAGTGGGTATTCTGGCTTACCCCTCCAAAATATTAGCATTGTTTACACTTATCTAATTCAAATAAACTTAGTTGAATGTAACTACGTGTTTTGTTTATTTGTAATCATGTTACTATAGTACAGAGAAGAGATCATCACTCTGTTTAGGAGATACCCGAGTTGAGTCAGTACACAGAATGAGTCCCAAAGTTATACCGAAAGTTTTATAATCAAGATATAGTAATTAGTTGCAATTATTATATAATTTTTATCTTTATACCTAGTACAGGCTATAATAGTGTATTATACTATCTTTTTTTTTGCTTTTTTCATCTTTGTTTATTTATGTTAAATCATTTTAGAATTTGGTTTCTTGTTTGTATTTTTTTATTGCTATAAGGTGTTACATTTTAGAATTTGGTTTCTTGTTTGTGTTTTTTTTATTGCTATGAGATGTTTTTTTTCTAAAATATTTATATCTTTCATAAAGATAGCTTTATTTTTTTTACTTTTATATATGAATAAGAGTTTAATTATATTGCTAGACTTTGGTAAAAGAAGTCTGAAAGAAGAAAGAGGTGGTTATGATAGGCAGTAGATACTATCTGTTGAGATCCAGGTCATGTCCAATTGTAGAAGAGGTCTAAAAAAAGAAGAATTCTACTATAGCAGGTTAAATATAGGTACCAAGTTGGTAACTGGGTTAGTCATAACTTTTAATTTAGATAACAATTTGGGCTACAGTACTTGTCATTTAAAAATAGTTCTTATATGCTATCTGCTAACAAGTTAAGAGTTTATTACTTACCTTCTAAAATGCCCAATTGTAAAATTTTATATATTCTAGATAAATTGTACAAAGCCTAATAAAGTTAAGGCATGATTGCCAAATTATTAAAAAAAAAAATTAATAAACTAGCGAGGACCCATGCTATTGAGCACAGAAAGAATAGTATTATTTAGGTAATAACTTTTTAGAATAAAAGATTATGATGCAATTTTTAGTGCATAGAGCTAAATAAAATTGTAATAGTGGGTAAATTGTTATTTATTTTACAGATAAAGTATAAATTGTATTGTTTACGTGATTACTATTAATGGCATAGTTAGTAAATCAAAATGTAATATGTGAAATATATTGTGTTATTTTGAAGATAATATATTAATGACTTGAAATTGTATTATAAAAAAATATTTTATTTTTGAATATGTATTTTTTATTGATGTTAAAATATTTTTTTGAGAGTTGTTAACATTGTAAGTTAGTAAATAATATATAGAGAAGAGTTATTAAAATCCAAGCAAATTGTTTTTAGTAAATTTTTTTAAAACTTTAAATTAAAATATCTTAACAACTATTAAACCAAACTTGATAAAATTTTTTTATTTTAATTCTATAACTAAATAGAATTAAAATAAAAAAATTTTATCAAGTTTGGTTTAATAGTTGTTGAGATATTTTAATTTAAAGTCTAGAAAAAATTTACTTAAAAACAATTTGCCTGGATTCTATTAACTTCCCCCATATATATTTATAGAATGAACTGGTTAATGTATAAACAATATATATAGTGTATATTGATATTTATGGAAAATAGATAAAACTTATAGTTATGAATTTATAAAAGAACTTTGGTGTATACTATATTTGTTGTTATTGTAGTAATACTTTCTTCAGGAAGAACTCTAATAGAGTTTGGTGAGGAACTATGCAAAAGAGCAACATAAAGTTATCTATAGAAAAATACTGGTGTTTAAAGATCTATACCAACATGTTTAACAGATTGGCCTTGTAACTTATTAATTGTCATCGCATAAGCTACACATATAGAAAATTGTCTTTTTTTAAAGATAAATGAAAGTTCAGTAGTTGAAAGGTTTAGAGTCATACAGGTAATAAATATTAATTCTCCAATATAATCTCTATATAGAATTCTTGCTTCAATAATGCGGTCAGTTAAGCATGTTATTACTAAACAGATGCTATTACAAAGACCCTGCTCTGGAGCAATATTTTTAAGTAACATTATTGGATAGTCTATTTTTAAATTAAGTTTTGCAAGTGGTAATTCTTTGGGGCTGAGAGAATTTAAGAATACAGTAAAATAAATATTATTAATATTAGCACTATTTTCTGTTACAGAATTATTAGCACTAATGTATGTGTGTTGGTTTCCTGGAAGTAAGTTAAGGACTATTTGATTAATGTGATCAACATCTTGGTTCTGAGAAGAGATAATAGTTTTTTGCACTAAGATATTTGTCATTACATGTTCCTGTTACATGAATATTAGGACAAGTAAAGTCTGTAAGTGATTCTAAACTTTGTAGTGATATTTTTATATAGCATGTGAGGGATAGTTTATTATAAGTAGTGTTAATACCATTTTCAATTTATAAAATTTGTAATATTAAATATATAAATTGCTTTAATATAAAGTGTATTAAATAATTACTTTTCTCTAATAGCCAGTACACAAATGCTTGATTTTCTTCTAAGTTAGCATTGAAATGCATAATTTTTTCAATATAAGCACTGTAATATATTTCTATAAGTAAGAATGTCTAAGTGATGCAGCTACAAATTCTTCTTTAAATATTTTTACAATAACTAGTAATGTTTGGCAAAAGTCACCTCCAAACACAACTGAAATTCTACCAAATGGTTATTTATTATCACGAATATCTCTTAAAAAATGGTCAACCGCTTCAATACTATAATGGTATTGCATAAACACCTCATTACAGATAATTAGTGATATTTGGCATAATAATTTAGCATCTTCTAAATTTTTATCAATTGAGCAAACTGATATTTCATTTATATTTAGTAAAATTTTGAATCTCAAAGATGCTGTTTGTTTAAGATTTAGTAAAAAAGATGCAATTCCCAAAGATGCAATACAAAGTATAATTTTTCCTAAACTATGAATTTTTATTGCTACAGTATTGTATAGAAAGGTTTTGCCTGTTTCTGCAAAGCTATTAATAAAAAATAATTTGTTATATTGTTTAATTACTGAATTAACAATAATATTATAAGCAGCTAATTGTTCTTGATTTAATTGTAGAATATGATTATTAATAATATTTTGAAGTTCTTGGTGATTAAATGCTAGTTGCTCTTCAATAATTGAGTTTTTTTTTAGAATACTTCTAGTTATGTTTTCAGAGAGGCATTTGTGAAAACATACTTAAAGATTGGCCAGATTGATGAAGAATTTCATCTAAAAGAAAAAGACTGAAGTCATAAATTTGGTTATCTGTAGGTATGTATATAGCAAATTATTTGTATAATTGATATTGAAGATCATTACAAATATTAGTATAGAAGCATAACTATAATTTTTCAGAGTGAAAAGATATACAATAGATAAGTATTATAGCAATAAGTGTTCTTAATTAAGAGCCTGTATATAAAACAGAAGCTTTTTCAAAATATTAAATCTATTAACTATCAGTTTCTAATAGCTTTAAAGCTAAACATACACTTTTTAATGTTAGATAAACTGTATTATCTACAGTTTTAAGGTGGTTGAATAACTGTGGACCATGTATAGTAGTAAGAAGAAACCAAAGATAAAAAAGTTCACTTGCAGAAGAATTAACAAAGTATATTTGTCTAATTGCAAAACCTTCCTATTGAGGTGTTCATTTTTTAGCTTTATTGTTTCAAACAAAATATTATAAGAACTCTTGATAAGTATATTGGTAAGCAAATTCAAGAGTAGCACATGTTTCAAAAAAAAAAGTACATGCAATTAAGTCTGGTAAATCTGCAGGAGTTTGATCTGGCTAATTTGGGTTTGCAGTTATTGTTCCAAATATATTAGGATAACTATAAAATCTAGTAATTGCTATAGAATCTTGAAATAGTTTAAACATTTGACAAGCGCTTCCAAGATGTATTAAAGGTAAAATAATTCCGTGACCAAGATTATTAATAGGTATTTCATTATTTGCATCTTCTACTATGTTAGTAATATTTTGATAAAGATCTGCACACAATGTATCTTGATTTATATATAAAAATCTTAGTTTGTTCTGCTTAGTTGTAGCCTATACATCAACTACAAACTCTTGAAATAATTTACTACTATGAAAAATTGTAGAAAATTCATTATAATGTAGAAATAAGTAAAAAGAATAAAATTTACTTGAGTAAGATAAGTTCTTTTATTATTATTATTGTTGTTTTGATGATTTGTCTTGTATATTTGTTTGTGTATAACATAACTCAGAGTGCTATCCAAGTTCTTTATGAGAAAAAATAACATATAGTGGAGAGGTAAATATGTAGGGTATCTATTATGAATTTATTGAAATAGACCTCCCTAAAGTCAAAGAACAATATCATGTATTGACTTAGATAATGATCCATCTCTAGGTGATATAATAGCAATTTCATTTGTTGTAGATATATTATAGTGATGCTGATCAGTTAACTTGTTGAAATGAAGATAAACTATTAAGTCTAAATTTTTTGTACTATTTTGATGAATTTATGATAATATTTTATATGCTTGTTTATATAGAGGATAAAATACATAGTAGTCATGTAAAAATTCTTGTAATTCTAATATTATTTGTGCTAATAAATTTTTATTTTGTTTCATTCTTAGATATTAAGCTGTGTTGGAATTATGAATATATAATTGTGCATATGTTAGAGATATTTATAGAGTAATGTACTCCCAAGTAACTCCAATATATATCTCACTTCATACTGGTGTAGTTTAGATGTTACACTACTTTGAATTATTAAGATACTATTAATCGAAGTAAATACTTCAGAATAATACTATTAATATAAAATAGGTTATACTCCAGAGTTATAATATATCAGAACTAGTGTTGCAAACTTATTTTAAATGCTAAAATAATTTATTTTACAAAAAATATTACAAATACAAAAATTACAATATTTACACTATATGAGCAATATGAAATTAGCAAAGCTATTTTAAGAGCTTTATATTTAATTGATATAATACTTTTTATTGTACATATGTAGTTTTACATATTACTAGTTTTTAAATAATGTATACAAAGATGTTTGCAATGATAATCAGAACATTATTTATTATTATATATTTATTATACTTTTAAATTATATATATATATATATATATATATTTTTTTTTTTTTTTTTTTTTTTAAGGTGAGGCCTTGCTCATATCTTTTATTGGGTAATTTATACAAGTAGTTACATAGAAACTATATAAAACTTAAT